GTCTAACATAATCACATTTATCAATCTGTCTTGAATTTGATTCATTAATACATTGGTTCATTGGAACAGAAGAAATACCATAGTCTAGATAGCTGTTTTTCAATAATAATGATACTTTATTCTTCAACTGACTGTATTCTTATTAAAATGAATAATCTTAACACATTACAGGGATTTGTAAAATCAAATTTTGCATTGATGCGTGATCTCGATGGTAAACCAAGAACACCAAGAGATCCTAGATCAGGAAGGCCACCTTTAAATAATCAAAGACAATATGATGCAAGGTGAGATATATATATGTTTTTTATTGACTATAATTTCATATTCGTACTTAAAAGGTTTGAATGATTTTTTCTGGTTAGCGTTTTTTTAACGAGTTCGTTTTCTACGGGATGTGGTCGCTAATCCCATGCCCAACCCTCCTCCTTTATCCGGGCTTGGGACCGGCAGCAGCCCTCGGAGGGACTCCAGGCGGAGTTAATTTTACATTCGTAGTATGATATGAATTATTTGAAAATTTGTGTCTTATGCACTTCCAGTGATTATTCCTGATTTCTTCCTCCACTGGTATCTGGTATGTTCTCTCTTACAGTAGGTTGTTGCTGATAGTATCGCTCTAATGAATCCAAAGTATTTTACGTGAAATTTATGTTATACTTCAGGAATTCATTTGGTACTTTCAATGCAATGGGTTATTAATAACAATTTAATCGTTTGAAGATCCCAATCATATTAAAAGACTAATATATGAATGAAGAATTGATTATATATTGAGATTGGGTTACTTTTTTAAGCAATGAAGTAAATATTCTTCTTCCATCACTTACATCTGCATGTAATTCATTTTCCAACATATCAACAATAAGAACGTCAGATAATTTCTGGAAGTATGCTAATGAAGTCAATCTGTAGTAAACATAAAAAATTGATCTAATTCTAATTAGTTGATTTTCATTTAGTAGGTCAGTCAACCATAACAGTCAGTCAGTCAGCTCCAACGTAGGACCAGGCGCATATATGCATCGGTTCAAGTTGCCATACCTCATTAGCACAACAAGATGAACATCGGATTCATAGAAGTGGTTAATTCAGTGGTGGTAATATATAAAAGAAGGACATAGTACAGGAAGAAAGAATTGGTTGGTAGAAAGAAAGATACGAACCGATTTTAGTCTCAGAGTTTAAGGGAAGACAGAGAGTGGATACACTGACGCCATTGTGATCGATTCTGAGCAATGTCACACAAAGTCTCCAACCATTGGTTACGATAGTCACGCGGACCAAAACCGAGTAGTTTGCATCCACCAACATGGCTCAGACTAGAAGTTAGTGACTTCAAGGATTGGTGCCACGTTTTGATTTGGCCACACCTAACTTTCTTCTAACCATCCACAACACTAGTCATCATTGCGCGTCGTGGTAATCGGTCAGACATAAATTGAATAAGGCAGTTATCATAAACCCGAGTATAAATGAATTCAGTAAAACCTAAGATACTGAATGATAAATATAGTTATCAAAACGGATAATAATAATAACTGATAGATCTGCTTCAATTATCATACTATAATCTCTTATTTTCACATATTTTTGTTTTAAAATCAAGTTCTTACTATCTATATTTTATATTATTTTTTCAGTGAAAATACAGTCAGAACAATCAACCGTCCATGGGTTACAGCTGCCGGGAAATTTTCAAAATCTTTCTTATCATTTGTTACACCAGCTATGCTCGTGAGTTCTATCTACATACACTCGTTCGAATCTTATATCACCTTCATGCTTTACTTCAGTTTACCAGCTATTTGTTATTAGAAACTTGACTTGTTTACACTGTTCGACAAAATCCCGATGTAATCTAACTACTGTTAAACTGAGGACTAATTACTAAGTTTGAGTAGGTCTGATTGAAATATGAACCTTGATGATACCAATCTAGAATTATCCCACATCTAAGTATAAGATACTTTCAAATTACTTGATGATAGGTACATTTTATCAACAAGGATTATTGAGGACATTCTATATTTCCATTCTATCACAAATTTGAAGCAATAACCTTCTATACTAGGCAACTATTTTAGTCACACCATACAGTTAAAATCATGAATATGTCATGAAAAAGTCATCTGAATGAAAGATACATCAGTTATTGAGATATTATATGATATAAGGAAGAAGTGTTTTCAACTCAGGATTCATATATTTTTAATACAGGAGGAAGCACGCAAACACTTTAACTGTCCTAATTTGGATGGAGTTGACATAGAGAACGAAGGTGGACAAGGAACATTTGGTACACACTTCGAAAAGAGAGTAGTTGGTGTAAGTTAATTTAAATTTCATTTTTTACAAGAAGTAAATTTCTCGTTAAAATAGATTCGTCAGTCACAATTCGTTTATGATGTTATCTACATGAACAGTTTTAATTTTATTGATAAGACTTATTCGACTGACCAATATGTGTTATGTATAGAATCGATTAATCTAATGTAGCATAACTTGACGATTTGGACTGCGTTGATGACTTAGCTCTTCTATACCAGACACACCAACAAATCCGGGTGAAGACAATCAATATAGCAGTCTTCTCTACAGCAGTAAGCCTAAACATATAACACCAACCCAATCATATTTGATGGAAAAACTCTAGAACAGGTGAAAACTTATACCCACCTGAACAGCATCATCGATGAACAAGGAGGATCTGATGCAAATGTGAAGGCCAGAATTGACAAAGTAAGATCAGGATTCTTACAACTGAAAAAAGTAAGGCACTCCAACTGACTGTCAGTCAGCATCAGAGTCAGAATCTTTAATACGAACGTGTAGATAGTTCTACTGTTTGGAGCTGAAACTTCCAGAACTACTAAAACCATCATGAAAGCGGTATAGATATTTATAAATAATTGTCTAGACACCATAGTGAGTGTTCGCTGACCAGATACCATCAGCAACAACTTACTATGGGAAAAAACAAACCAGCTTTCATCTGAAGAAGAAATAAAGAAAATTCGCTGGGGGCGATTAGGATATACATTTCGGAACTCATCAAGCCGTATCACGAGGCAAGCGGTAACTTAGAATCCTAAAGGGAGACGAAAACTTGGAAGGCCAAAGAACACACTGCATCAGGAATGGTAAGCAGATATCAGAAGAACAAATAGCGGTTGGAAACAGATGAAAATCATTGGCGAGAACAGAGTTCGATGGAGGATCGTGGTGGGCAAACTATGCTTCTCTATGAGGGCTAGCAGGCGTAAGTAAGTTAGTAATTAATCAACTCATTACATTCTTCAAAATATGATAAAGTTGATTCATTTACAGTAGTCAATAAGTAATGATATGGCGTCCTTTATTTCTCTGAGACTATGCAGTGTTAACTGTTCAGGAATATTATTCATAAATTCAATGTTATGATCTCATAAAATCATTAGGATTAAAGTAAAGGGTATCAAACAATCATACAATGAGTTAATTTACTACTTGTAATATATAAATAGTATGTATATGTTGTGTATATTGTAGGATGAAACAATGGCAGGTGTTACTGGAGTGAAAACTGTAATGTCAAGGCTTACATTGGCATTCTTCACAGACTCTGGGTAAATTGATACAATTCAGAAAACAATGTATTATCTAATATTTCATCTGCTTTTTTTGATGATCATGCTTAATTTATCTGGATTTTGAACTTGATTATGCTTTTCATAAACTAATATAAGGGTTCTGAGCAAAGATAAATAGTGGCTAGCAGTCGAAACCAGGAATCGCGTTTCGTCCTATTAGGGACTCGTCAGCTGGATGCAAATGCATCTCCTAGTTGATGTCCACTCTGTGACTCGAGACCAGTACCGTTCGCTCCAAACGCCATCGCGTTATCCATTTAGCTACCGATTCCTGATAGCCACTTGTTTGTGCAGTGAGGTGGTGTTTGAATTACCATGTTATTTTTTTACTTGAATCTTCCTATTGATGTTTAGGACTGCAATTGATCGGTACCGGGTTCGAGTCTCAGAGTGACATGGCAACTCTGAGATGCAGGTACATCCAGCTGATGAGTCCGAATAAAACGAAATGCGCGTCCTAAATTCCATTGCTAGCCACTATCCATACTTGCTTAGAATACTTGTGACCTAAGGCAATACACACAGTATGCACATATGCCAATAAGAGACTGATCAATTACAGTCCTAAACATCAACGAGGAAGATTCAAGTCAACTATACAAAGTGAATTCTAATATATGGGTTATGGATTTTACTGTTTCAGTAAATGATAACATTTCATTTAAATTCATAAATTGCTTGATCTACTTGTATTCATTTCAATATCACTGTAGCTGTGTAATATTTTACAGAGAAATTATTTAGAGCAATTTAGTCCCTTTGATATGTTTCGACAGTGCAATATAGCAGACGAAGTTTATCAGAACTATGTGATGATATTTTAGCGCACTACATCCCGAACAATCTGAACAATCTAAATGAGTGTGTGTGTGTAGCCATATATACATAGGGAGGAGGAGTAATCGTGATCTCAAAATCAGAGTGTGTAGACATGTACCTAAATGCTTGCAGAAACAAATAAAATCAAATGACCCAATAAGAATAGAGGATAAACATTTATCATCCTCTATTGACAAACGCATAATTGAAACAGGTCATAGAATACTTGGATTCATGGCGTAATTACTGAATTGGAACATGAATACAGAGTGATCTTGAATGCTGTTAGAGGTATGAGAACAGTTATCATTTCCCGGTTGCCCACACCGTGGAAATGTCCTCCTGGGAATACAATAGATAATTGTGTGAATTTTTGAGACCAATAGCTTTTTTAGTATGATATAGAAACTATGATTAAGCCTGGGTGGTGTCTGGCTCTCCTGTTAAACAGGATAGAGGTGTAGTGTTTGGGTTGTCACATGAAAGTCTGGATGGTGTCTGGTTCTCCTGAAAACCAATGTAAATTATATAACTATAACTATAGAAACTATGATCCAATTAGAAAGTGGTTATCAGTTATTTATGAAAAATAATAATTTCTTTATTTCATCTTTTTTTCTTCCATTCAATTCATTAAGCTGGTGGGATGTTGACTATTCATTGGCTGAAGCATGGTATTATGGAAAGAATTTAGGTTGTAGCTTTGTTATGGAAAGCTGTTATGCATACATGATGCGAATGAAACAAGCGTAAGATCGATTGGTTTTATTTCCGTATATTTTTGATCAGTTGTTACTATGTGATCTGTTATATTTAATAATGGTTATTGAAATAGTTATCTGGTTGCCAATAATCTTTGAATGAATCTCTAACAGAATGTTTCTTATTTTAGAGGAAAAAGTACGGAACCCTATTGTGATGAACCAGATACTTTAAAATGTTATCATCAAAAAGCATTTGGTATTTGTGCTGTTGGACGGTTTACTCAAAGTTTACCACCTAATGAACAATATTTCAAAGATCCTTCTCAAGGAGGGTCTGGTGCATTAACAGACAGATGTCCTATGATCCAGGTTAGTAGTATGATGAGACTATAAATTTTATACGATATTTAAGTGATGCCAAAGTAACCTTGAGAGTGTCTACCTACTTACTAAGGCAAAATGAGGGTTATAAAGCAGTCTGAAGAATAAGGATTATGATTCACAGTTGATGGTAAGGATAAGGAATTACAATGAAAGTTTTTCATCATGAACTGACATCAGCTAAAATGCCAAAACACTACTTGGCCAAATAGGTGAGTGAATTTCGCGCCAAAATCAAGCACCCATTATCCTAAATCTGATTGGATCGTCCATAAATTATAGTCTCGCCAATTTTGTTCCTAAAATGTCTATGATACTCTTGTCCATGATCTCTTGTCTAATCTGATTTCAATCATTCATTTGGTCTACATTTTATAAAAATGTAATATGTAGGGTTTAAAGGAAACTTTTCATATTTAACAAACGGTATAAGAAGAATTTAAACTTATTTGAATCTTATTTTCTACACCTTGATGTTTCAGTAGAATTTTTGACTGTTTACATATTTAGTAGTTGAATTCATGAGTCAATTGAAGGTAGACCACCATAGAACCTGGAAGCATTGGATGTCCGTTTCGTCCTAGTATGAGACTTCTCGGTAGTGCACATCCACGATCACACCTCACGAGATTCGAACTCAGGATCAATCAGTCCCGCGTGCGAGACATTTGTACATTGTATATTTTGAATACATTACTTTGTTCTATACATTTGACATAAACTTATCTTTACATACGGATTGAATATTTCTGAAATGTAAGCATTTTGTACAAATCAGTCAAGTACGCTCATTAATGACTATCCCCAATAGGTATTTCCCGGAGTTCTAGTGAGAAACAGTGATTAGTGGAGTTCAACTGGGTCTGTTGTCAGATAGTAACTCACTGAAGACAATGCTGTATGTGTTGCTCAATTTCGTGGATTACTTGGATTGGATACCGGCCGGCTAATCGTTCGTGAGTTAAAAACTCTTGAGACCGGATCGTAGATGCTCATTGCTGAGGAGTCTCACAATAGGATGAGTTGGCTTTCCAGTGCTTCCAGGTTTTTCATGGTGGTCTAGCTACAATTGACTTATGATCTCAACTATTAAATTACTAAAATCTTCACAAAACCCCTTCTGATATTATAAAATCTTCAAGTTTAAGCTACATAACCGTATTATTTCTGGAATTAAGTTGGCCTATCCATCACCACCTTGTAATAGGATAAAATACCTATCCAGTTCTATTTAGTTTTTACTGGTTATCTAATTCGGTTTATTCATAATCTCGATAATAAAATTGTTTTCGGATTATTGCATGGCTTATCGTCAATCACAATGATCAAGTGGAAACAAGCTGATAGTTTATTTTCATCACAAAATAATCTCATTTGGCATATTAGTGAAAATTAACAGGTATAAAATAACTGATTCATTCTAGTATGAAAATCCGCAGCATTGTACGATGAGGTTGGAATTGTAACGCTGAATCTCCGCCCAGTAGTTCTAGTAGTTAGACATTCTTCTTAAAGTCCGAAAGTCCTCTTTTCGATTTATGTTGAGTTAGTGTTAGTCTACTCCACTGAAATCCCTTACTAAAAAGAGACATCTGAGTAACGTTCCTTGGTCTTTAAGTTGACTCTAACTGAGAAAAATGTATGACGAATAGAACTCCCTAATTCAACAAACATCCAGTAAATCCCTTCAAAGAAACCAATTCATTAGTTGAATGATAAGATTCATCCTATAAGTAGATCAGATTGCTCTAGTTAATGTTTATTCAAGTGTATATTGGATTGTATCCTGGAACAAACTTTGTGGAATCAATCTATTGAAACACTTTCATACCTTTTTCTTTTGTCCTTTAAAAAAAAAACAGCCTATGCGATCCTTTTTCAATGAACCAATTGTAACATACTGTGATCATCAGCTTAATATTCCTGTCGGTAAGTAATTAGGTAACTTTCAGATTTTTAATGAAAACCAGTAAGTAATCACTGACTATTCAAATAGAACTAATTCTGGTTATCGATAGTATTTATCAAGAATATATTCGGAATAAAGGATTCATATGACAAAATAGACGTAACATTTCACTGAATATAAAGATTAATTAACTAGTAATTTAACCTGAGTAAAATATCTAAAGAACATTTACATTGACCGTTTCGATTTGTTTATTTAAATACATAGACATTGGTACAAAGGGGCATCGAATAGATATGCGCCACATAAATCATTCGATTTATGTGAGGGCTGGGATACTGTCCGGGTGCCCAAACCGAAGCAGGTGATTTCCATAGACGGCCACACCCAAAGCCTTTGATAAAAGAACCTGATCCACAAGACAGTGGAGGAACGTAAAGAGATGCAGTCTCATGGTAGTCGGTGACTAATAATTGGTTCATACGCCATGTTTCCTTAGGATCCTGGAGAGAATGTGCACTATCTGTTTAAAATCAGGGTTTCTCAACTCTCCTAGGTGGACTCTCCGTGTTCATTAACGCGGTTAAAGCGCCATGTATTCGCTTTTCGTCCTCTCAATTTCGTAAACAATACCGGTGGTGCGAGAAGGCATTGAGTAGGACTTTCTTGGCAATGGCTGTATACGTGCAGCTATGTGAGAGCATTTGGAGAAGGAGAGCTGGCTCTCCACACTCTAAGCCGTACTAGAGCATTTGGGTCTACCATTTCAATATAAGGTTCAATAGTGATAAGTCTTCTAATTGAACATTAGATTCGGTTCCTAAGCTCTTCTAGTAACCCTCAAGCTAAGTCTACACAACAACTTGAGCACGTGAGGAAAGATGCGAAATACGAGAGAAACGTTTTATGTACAGAAAATCTAGGGTATTTATAGCATTTGAGATTATCTCGATTTTCCGGAAATTTCTAGAATGGTACTAAACAAAGCAGTATAGGTAATCATCCAAACAGAAACGCGACTCGTGACTAATCACTTTCTATATGTTACTAGTAAACGTTCTATTGAATGTTGATTGGATAACATGATTCTTAGTGTTTTCAGGCAGCAGCGTCAGCAGCAATAGGTCTCAATATACACAAAAGGAAAAACAAGATTCTCCGATACAACACAGCGTACACCAATCCAATCACAATTGACGGAGAAGATTTGGAAGATGTAAACACCTTTACATATCTAGGCAGCATCATTGATGAACAGGGTGGATCTGATGCAGATGTGAAAGCGCGGATCGGCAAAGCAAGAGCAGCATATTTACAACTGAGGAACATCTGGAACTCAAAGCAACTGTCAACCAACAACAAGGTCAGGATTTTCAATACAAATGTCAAGACAGTTCTACTGTATGGGGCGGAAACCTGGAGAACTACGAAAGCCATCATCCAGAAAATTCAGGTGTTTATTAACAGTTTTCTACGCAAAATACTTCGGATCCATTAGCCAGACACTATTAGCAATAACCAACTGTGGGAGAGAACAAACCAGATCCCAGTGGAGGAAGAAATCAGGAAGAAGCGCTGGAAGTGGATAGGACACACATTGAGGAAAGTACCCAACTGCGTCACAAGACAAGCCCTTACATGGAATCCTGAAGGTCAAAGGAGGCGATGAAGACCAAAGAACACATTACGCCGGGAAATGGAAATAGACATGAGAAAAATGAACAAGAATTGGTTGGAATTAGAAAAGAAGGTACAGGACAGAGTGGATTGGAGAATGCTTGTCGGCGGCCTGTACTCTATTGGGAGTAACAGGCGTAAGTAAGTAAGCAGTGTTTTCAGAGCCTTCTTTTTGGCTTTTTTTATAAGGAATTTTCTGGACACAACTGTAACACCACTGAAATCTCTATCCATTGTAGTAATTTAACATATTCAAAAGACAAGTTTATCTATAGCATAAATCCTAGAACATATCACATACATTGCTAATAAATAAAGAAATTTTACAATTTCTATTTCGGTAGCTCAAAAAGGAAATATGTTTGCTCAAGATTTTGGAAATAATTCATTATGTATTATGCATAAAGGAGCATGGAGAGCTCAAATGAATGGAAGAGCAACAAATGATCCTCGAGTTAAAGCCACCTGCCATCAGGTAATCCTATGAGAATTTTATTACATATTATTACATAATAATCATGATTCAATTGAAGCTAGATCACCATGGAAAATCTGAAAGCACTGGATAGTATTTCCTGGCGTTCTAGTGAGAAGCAGTTACCAGTGTTGTTCAACCGGGTCTGTTGTCAGATGGGAACTCACCGAAGACAATGGTGTATGTGTGGCTCAATTTCGTGGATTAGTTGAAGTTAGACATTAACACTGTTGGATGCTGGCCGGCTCAGTTGTGTAGAGGTTAAGCGTTCGCACACCAGACTGATAGGTCCTGGATTGGAATCTTGCTAGGCGGGATCGTGGATACGCTCTGCTGAGGAATCCCACAACAGGACCACTTGGCCGTTCAGTGCTTTCAGATTTTCCTTGGTGGACTAACTTCAGTCGACTGATAATCTCAACTATTGAAATAAATAGTGTTTCAACATAAAAGTCAATGTCAACACTAGATGTTAATTGCTTAACTACTTATATGATTGTGTATTGTTGCTTAGATCTGTGTTTACTCCCTTATTGATCACTAATATTTCTTTTTATTTATTCATTTCAGTATTCATGTTCTGGTGGTCTACAAGTGATTATTAATGGTAAACCATTCCCATGTAATTCAGGGGTAGCTACAGTTCAAACTAATCAAATTCAAGGCGAAATTATCTGCCCTGATCCTAATACTGTTTGTAGGGTAAATAAGTAGAACAATAATAATATTTGATTCTATTTTGTATTTCATTATTAGACTAATGTATCATGAGTAATAAACTTAGAACAATTTTTTATATTATGGGACTCCTAAGCAGTGAGCATCCACGATCCTGACTCGTGAGATTCGAACCCGAGACTTACCAGTCTTGCGCGCATTCGTTTAACCATTAGACCACTGGGCTGGTATCCAACCGTGTTTATGTGGATGCACATTGCTGAGAAGTCTCGCAATATGATGAATCATCCATCCAGTTCTTCTAGGTTTTCAGAAGTAGTCCAGCTTCAATTGGATCATGATCTCAACTCTTGAAGTTACTATAATATCCACAGAAAACCTCTTCTGACATTTTTTATGTGTTCAGAAGTCTCCAATTTCATAAGTCCTTAAATTCATCAAAAATGTGTGCTATCTGATTGTTCACTTAAGTTAACCGTTCAATTAATCAACTAACAGGGGATAGAATTGACATCAAAACAGCTTGGAAAACGTTGTATAGAAATTGTCAAGAATAATTGCTCAAGTTTATTGAAGCCTTGGTTATTTGCAAATTTACCCCCCCCCCTTTCTTATATGTACGAAAACAATTTGTCATAACCTTGAATTTAACTTGATAATCCTTAAGTCATTTTATGGCCTAGAATAATGAGATAATTTCTCATTCTTTCTATACGGTGTAAATTTTTTTCTCTCTCCTTTATTATCTTGTTTACTTGAACTTTCATTTAATTGACCTTTACTAATCTTTATATAAAATGTCCTGACAAGTGTATCTATCTATAACAGAGCTTTTTTAGTGAGTTGGTTTTCTACGGGATGGGATCACTAACCCCGTGTTCAACCCTTCTCCTTAATCCGGGCTCGGGACCGGCAGTAGCCCCAGAGGGGCTCCAGGCGGAGTTACAGCGTACTTACCAACAATTCAACATCTGTATGAAGTTGTGAAGATTGTTAAGCATTTGATTAAGATCATGAGATGACTGATGTTAAATCACCATTGAAAACCTGTAAGCAGTGGACAGTCTTTCCGTCCTATTGTGAGATTCCTCAGCAGTGCGCATCCATGATTCCGCCTCGCGAGATTCGAACCCAGGACCTTCGGTCTCGTGTGCAAACGCTTATTATCTCACATTCATTACTACAGAGTAACATCTTATATTAGATTGCATTGCATCATATTACATGTATCTATAATAAAGTGTATTTATGAGTAATTTACACAACATACTAATTTAATCCATTCATCTATATTTAATATAACAATTCAGATTCAGAAATTGTCTCGCGAGGCGGGATCGTGGATGCACACTGTTGAGGAGTCCCACAATGGGACGAAACGGCCATTCAGTGCTTCTAGGTTTTCAATAGTGGTCTAGTTTCAATTGACTCAAAATGTTAATAACAACAACAATTATTTTTACTATTTCACAATTAGTCTTAGAAATCAAAACATTAAAACTACAGACATTTTAACGTCATTTATTCATTAATTGTATTTCATCATTCTCTTTGTTGTTATTTCTTTTACAGAATAGGCGTAGATCAATCAAGCAATGAACAATACACTTTTTGTTACCATAAACCAACATTAACTATGGGTTTCTTTTTTAATCTATCTCTCTCATTAAATATGAATTTCCTTTATTGTGTTTCTTTTGTTGTTGTTGTTGTTGTTGTTCTTGTTGGTTGTTTGAACAGCATGTAATCAGTATGGAGTAGTGAATAAATGTTGATTACTATCAATGGTGTTTTGATTATTTCAACGGTAATATTTAGTAAATACTTCTAATGAAAATGTTATAGAGACCTTTTTTTAAAAAAAATTCAGATACACCTTAAACATTATGGCTTTAAGAGTGAAGGATTTTATTTAGTAATAAGAGATTAGTATTATAATGTCAATGAACACACCGGTAGTATTGTAGTGTGAGCTACTTATATTCACATAAGTAGTAAATAACGATAGTCAGGAATATAATGTATTTGAGTAGAAGATTGAGAAGCGAAGAATGGGAACAGAAAGCAATTAGTATGAAAATGCAGGAACAATGAAATCTCACACGATGGACTGTTATTTGCAAAATGAACAGTCAAGTTTGAGACAATGGATTGATATTTTGTAGATGAAGTGTTTACCGTATGGTTCTCAGATTTTAGTAAGGTGTTCTGTAATTTTTTGTATGAATACATTCGATTGCCCTCATACGTGTTCTTGTTCACTGTAGTATGTCAGTCATATTGATTAAGTTGAAACTTGGCAATTACATATATAGGTCCTGGGTTCGAATCCCGCGAGGTGGGAATCGTGAATGCACACTGCCAAGGAGTTCCATAATGGAACTGGTTGGCTGTCCAGTGCTTCCAGGTCTTCATTGGTTGTCTAACACCAATCAATTCAAGACCTCAATCAAGAAATATGAAACGGGAACTTGTTGAAACAATTTATGCTAAGAATTCTATTTTGTACAATCAATGACCATAATAGTAATAATAATAACCGCTATATTTCTAACCCTTTACATTGTATGACCGATATCTTCAGTTAAACTTTGTTGGACAATCGTTAGTATAGAGTTATCACACTAACATTATGACTTTAATGTAAGCGTTGATGTGAAGCAAATCAAGAAAATTAATAATAACATTTTCAAACGGGAATATTTATTTTAAGGATGTGAAATTTATGTCAAAACTTCCTACTCCCCACCATCCAATTGTACCCTTTTTCCAACAGTCTAAAGCGCCATTTTACTCGGCCAATGAAGTACTCATGATCGGATCCATAAAAGTAATGTATTTAGTTCAGCAATATTAGTTTTAGTCAGCATTGTTTTTAGCCATGTCTTTCCTAAATAGTAAAGCTGATATAATTTTCAGATAGTTGTCTGTTGGTGTAGGATTTTCGATGAAAGCGCAACTCTTGAGATAACTGAGAGCTTATGAGGAGTTGATTTGCTGCCGTTTCATGGTACGAGGCAGTCAACGAAATACACATGATTTTTACATAAAATAAGTATACATTAGAAAAGGTAAACATTAACAACAAACAACCACCCAAGTGAAATAAAAGACTGTTTCAAAATAAGTTCTTTATTCATTGGTCTATTAGATGTGAATTCTTTTGTTCACATTGAATTTGTGTATGAAAATTTTGGAAGCAGAATGATCGATATGCTACAACGTCAAAATTAAATTTTCCCCCATATATTTAAACCAATCAGATCATACATAGAATTGATTCGTCATCAAATCGATAGTTATTGTACGGTAGAAAAGTGTATCCCTGAACTAGTCACACATGTATTTCAATAAAACTTAGAGTAATCGCTATTTCTGTAATATTTACAGTCATAGAATCAAAATGTATTATTAGGGATGCAGAAAAATGACCATCGTCAGCCTAAAATTATTCTGAAAACGTTACACTACTTATTAAAATATAAGTAGCTTGAAGGTTTGCCAAGTTTTAGATGTCAATATGGCTACAGATAATCAATCAAGCGATCGTGATTAGAAGAGAACAAACAAAAAGAAAACCAGAACAATTTAGCCGAGTGAAGTGGAACTCATACAAGACAGGGAAATGATTTTAAAAGATTCGATAATCGTATACACAATATTTTGAATACTAATGATTACAAGACAGAATTTAGTGAATTAGTTTAACATACAGGCAAATAATTAGGGTTTTTAGGTAGAACTAAACGACCTAATAAAAGTAGAGGATAAACATCTATCATTCTCTGTCGCTAAACATATAATTGAGACACGTCATAAGATTGATCTTAACTTGGCTTTTGTGGTGTTGTACAAAAGTGTAAAAGGGCGTATACTATGGTTTATAGAAGCCTTAGCCATATGAAAATCCAAACTCCCTTTATGCAATCAAAAACAGTTTGTTCTCAAATTAAACCTACCCTGGTAATATTAACTAATTGTCCAAACTGTTTTCACATTACTTCTTTATCATCCTTGTCTCCTGCTACCCTCCATTTCTAGTCTAGACTAGTTCTTACCAAGTATAGAATGTGTAATCAGATTGTTCGAAAAATACTGCATTAATATATCACCATATAGTTCTGATAATCTTTGTCTTCTTATCACATTATACGAAATTTATCAAAGGGACGAATTGCTTTAGATTTTTAGGTAGAATTGCTTCGATTTTTGAGTACAGTTCAAAATCCCACCATGATAGTTCGCTCATATATTTTATAATTATTATTTGACTTAAACAAGATTGGACATCATATTCAAACTGTTGTGCACATTTTGGCTTGCAGCGTCAAATATAAACCATGAATATTTGCTTACACTGTATCTGAATAAGAATTCTATGATTTTTAAAGAGGTAATGAGTGATATGATCCCACTATGGAATACTTTAGTTCAGAATAGTTGTTTTCCTTCCGAAAATATCATGATTATAGTTATTTATTTGTAAATCAGTAATGTCAATTCGTATGAAGGTTTTAGTTAGATGAGCTTGTGTACTTTCAAAGGATAACATTATAAACACTCAATCTAACTCCGCCTGGAGCACCTCTGAGGCTACTGCCGGTCCCAAGCCCGGATAAAGGAGGAGTTTTGAGCATTGGGTTAGCGACCCCATCCCATAGAAAACTAACTCGTTAAAAAACAAGAGCAAGAGCAGTATATTTACAACTGGAGAACGTCTGAAACTAAAAAAACTGTCGATCAACACCAAAGTCAGAATTCTCAACACAAATCTTTATTAATAGTGTTAATTAACAGTTGTCTACGCAAAATACTTCGAACCTATTGGCCAGACACTATCAGCAACAACCAACTGTGGGAGAGAACAAACCACATTCCAGCGGAAGAATAAATAATGAAGAATCACTGGAAGTGGATAGGACACACATTGAGGAAATCACCCAACTACGTCATAAGTCAAGCCCTAGCTTGGAATCCTCATAACCAAAGGAGGCTAGGAAGACCAAAGAAACATTACATCGAGAAATGGAGACATATATGAGAAGATTGAACAACAATTGGATAGAAGTAGAAAGGAAGGACGAGGACAGAGTGAGTTGGAGAATGGTCGTTGGCGGTCTATGCTCAATCGGAGGGTAACAGGCGTACTTAATTAAGTAAGTAAAGAGTCTTTGGTTGACGGAAGCTGACAGAGATCAAGTCAATCCAAGAGCGTTTTAATTTCAAGTTTCATGATAAATTGAAGAATATAAATCAAATTACAAATGAAATGTAACTCACTGAAAACTAATTAAATGAGACCATAGATTCTTAATAAATCATTATCGTCAACTTAAACAATTTTAACTACATCACAAGCTAATCCGTGTCAGGTACAAACAGGTATCTACCTCAGTACAATGGAAGATGGTCACACAATTTCGTGGATTGGTTGGAATTAGACATTGATACCGTTGGATGCCGACCGGCTCAGTGGTCTACAGGTTAAACATTTACGCACGACACTGAAGGCTCTGTGTTTGAATCCCGCGAGGAGTTTCGCGAATGCGCACTGCTCTGGAGTTCCACAATAGGACGAAACTTCCGTCCAGTGCTTCCAGGTTTTCAATGGTGATCTAACATCAATCGGTCCATAATCTCAATCAAAAATACTAATTATAGAATTACAAAGTCTAATTACTTCATCTGAAAAGAGTTATTACATTTCGAGCAATGACCGACTTACAACATGTGCTTCTAGTAAACATATGATTTAAAAATACTTAGTGGAGAAAACACTAATTAAACATAATTATCGTCTAAGTATTAAAGATGAAGTTCAGCTAAGGTCCGTCTATTTAACGAATTTATTTTCAAGTTATATATGTTTATTCACTAATCATATAACCTCAGAGAAAATTATAAATCAAACTCAAGGGGATATGAGAAATTATTAGGGAGAGGAGCTAAGTGGATAACGCAATGGCGTTTAAAGCGAACGGTACTGGGTTCGAGTCCTGAAGTGAATATCAACTCGGGTGCAGGTATACCCAGCCGACGAGTATCAAATAGGACGAAACACGCATCCTGGATTCTACTGCTAGTCACTATCGATCTTTGCTTGTAAAGCTTACGACTTAAGGCAATATCGAGTCAATCCGCACAGGATGCACATATTCCAATAAAAGACTGATCAATCGGAAGATTCAAACAACCATTACAAAGATGAATTAAATTTCACTTCATTACATAAGCTTAATAGCTATCAGGATTTAGTAGCTAACTGAATGACATGATGGTGTTTGAAGCGAATAGTACTGAGTCCGAGTTCCATAGTCAACATCAACTTCGTGATGCAGGTACATCTAGCTTACGAGTCCCAAAGAGGTTGAAATACATATCCTGATATCTACTGCTAACCATTATACATCTTTACTTAGAATATATTTACATATGTTGGATACTATACCGTTTACTAACAAAATGTAAATAAATATTCTGGTTTTCTTTTTTTTTCTTTTTTAAGGCAAATAGAAAGACAAGCCCTTCTTTAAAACACTTCATATAATGAGCTTAACAACTTTTTATGATCATGAAACGAGTAATCATTTTGTGTCATTAACGATTTATAAAAAGAAACCAATTAATGGAACTAAATAGAGAATTCAAGTTTGGATTATTTTCATTATGATTAAACTTTATTCACTAATCACAATGTAATTCATTGATAGTTTGTAAATTACACCCCTTTTAAATAGGCATAATGATGTATCAATAACTCCGCCTGGAGTTCCTTTAGGGGCTAATGCCGGTCCCAAGCCCGGATAAAGGAGGAGGGTTGGGTATGGGGTTAGCGACCCCATCCCCTAGAAAACTAACTCGCCAAAAAAAAACGCTAACCAGAAAAGTAATGTATCAATAAACAAATAAGAATGCAGATAACTTATTAAAAGATTCAGATTATAAAAACAATTAGCTCAGATATTTAATCAGGTCGCTTTTTTGTTCTAAATGTCCATTCGGATAAATATGAGCTTGAAATAAATTCATCTAATACAACTCATATTTGGCTTCTTATTACCATTGTCATATAAATAAGGTTAGCCTAGATAATCATATAGAGTAAAATGGAAGATTTATGTTCATAACACCTTTGTACAAACTGTAATGAGTTTAGATAATGGGCAAAAAATAACTTCCTAACTTATTTTATGATTATCGTTACATGACTACCATTCTGATTGTTTTGTGGCGCGTACTACTTATATTGAAATAAGTAGTATATAACTCGAGTCAGGAATTTAATGTCTGGCAGCAGAAGATGAGGAAGATCAAGGAAGGAAGAACGGGAATAGAAATGCAAGAACAATGAAGTTCGAGACAATTATTGAACATTTTGTAAATTAAGTATTATAGTATGTTTTTTCTATTTTACCAAGTAACTCTGTAATGTTGTGCTCAATACAATTCCGTTGTCCTCTCCTGTGTTCTCATTCACTACACTATGGTCTTAAATTATTTGGCTTTATAAATAACTGATCCGGATCAAACAATCATTGAAAATAGATTTCATTCGTGATTTCGTTATGAATTCCAATGGTTAAATAAGATCAAAGGATAGATGGACATCTTCTTTCATTGTGAAACATTTGATTGAGACTAGTTATAAACTTGACATCGAGTCAACATTTGTAGTGTTGTACAAAAGCTTTCAAGGATAATATACTAAGGTTTATTGAAGCTTTGGCTTCTTTGTTATGGCCTACCTTTACCCTGTATAGTTGAACTATTCATTTTCATATAAAAATGTCTTAACAAGTACATTATGCGTAATCAGATTATTTGAAATGTATTGTGCAAATATATCATAACATAATTTTGATAAACTTCATCTTCTCATTGTATTATCGAAGTTTATCAAAGGAACTAATTGTTTTAATAAATGATTCTACATTACAAATTCTTGCCTAAATTATTTATTATTAATTGAGATCATGAACCAATTGATGTTAGACCATCATTGAAAACCTGGAAGCACTGGATGGCCATTTCGTCTTATTGTCGGACTCCTCAGCAGTGCGTATCCACGATCCCTCTCGCGGGATCCGAACCCAGGGTCTTCAGTCTCGCTGCTGAGGAGTCCCACAATAGAACGAAACAGCCGTCCAGTACTTTCAGGTTTTCAATGTCAGTCTAACATCAATTGGTTCATGATCTCAATCAAAAACTTAATAATCTCCACAACCCTTAAACTGATATTTATGATTAGGAAGCATTTTAAATTCTAAATGTGAGATTGTAGCTAAAGCGAGAGATGGAGACATTATGACACTGAATAATATAAAGCGACAATGTGACTAGGTAATCTTCAGGGAATCTGTTACGTACTTCGACTACACTTAGTCTAGATATTTAAAAAAATTATTGCATATCTATTTTTGAATTAATCTGACGAAACTTTATAAATTGACTTCAACAGTAATTCGGGAAGGTTGTAAGATCCAACAGATGCAATATTCAATTAAAGTCTAATAATTAATATCTAGATATATGAGGTCCTGAAAATGAATCTCGAGAGGCGGGATCATGAATGCGTACTGCTGAGGAGTCCTATACCAGAACGAAATAGCCGTTCAGTGTTTCCAAGTTTTTCACGGTGATCTAGCTTCAAATGGTTCATGAATTCAACTAATGAATTACATTTTATTGATGATTAGAACTTCTGTTCCAAATAGATAGTTAACAAACATTTACATTTTCATCAATAATAGTTGAGTGTCGAATTTTTCAATACATTGAATAGTCAGTTTACATATCAAAACAACTGTCAATCAACACCAAAATTAGAATTTTCAATACAAATGTCAACACAGTTCTATTGTATGGGGTAGAAGCTTGGCGAACTACGAAACCCATCATTCAGAAAATACAAGTGTTTATTAACAGCTGTCTACGCAAAATACTTCTGATCCGTTGGCCAAACACAATCAACAATAACAGTGGAAGAATAAATCAAGAAGAATCACTGGAAGTAATTATGACATACATTAAGGAAAGCACCGAACTACGTCACAAGTCATGCCCTCACTTGAAATCTTCAAGGCCAAAGGAGGCTAGGAATACCAAAGAACAAATTAAACTGAGAAATGGAGAGAGACATGAGAAGAATGAACAACAATTGGATAGAACTAAAAATGAAGGTCCAGGACCGAGTGAATTAGAGAATACTGGTAGGCGGCCCTATACTCCATTGGGAGTAACAGGCGAAAGTGAGTAAGTTAATATGGCTTACTTCGTGTTTAAGTATGTTCAATAGATATCAACTGTTTATCCCAAAACATCTTACATCTCATCACCTCCTGATATTGTTAAAGTTATTCACTTTGTAATTCCATTTCAATTGTAAGTAAACAATGGTACCTTTTTCATTGAATTAGGTTTTATAAGGTTTACACCCTGGGTTGTTTTAAATTGTCTGAATGATTTTGTATTTGTTGACAACTTCAAGTGATTGCATATTCCAATTTCATCATTCTATCTATTTGATTGTTTAATACTTCTTTAGTATCCATTTCACTCATCAGGTGGTAGGTAATTTGAATGTATATCAACTATTCTCTTTATCCGTTTACTAGAATCATTTAAATGTCCAAAAAGTATTAATAATTACAAAAAATCATCATAATATGGATAGAGCAAAGTTGATTTCATTATGATCAGACTCAGTCAAATGTTTCGTAATGGGGGAAGATTTTATTTTGAAACTACGTTAAACTTATTCAAGTTAAGAGAATCACCAATCAAATCAAATTGTCCAGAATCTTTGAATTTAAGACAAAAAGTAAACCTACATTATTTTTTCTTTCGTTTTTCTTTTCTCTTTTCTTTTCTCTTTTTTTTGTGTGAATTGATTTGAATCTCCATCGAAACTGTTAAAAAATATTAATGAAAAATAAACAAACGAGATAGACCGGAGATATTAGATTGGTCTGTGAACTTCAGACAACAACAACAACATGTATATATATATATAGGTATACATATGACATAAGTTAGTTACCACCATACTTAACAGATATGCTTATTCATTTATTCATTAAATGGTTTTTCATTTTCATCATATGTCGTATTGTCAATTCTACATCATTCTGTGGTTCACCTCCTTTAGTGAAATTGGTAGATTCAATATTATTAGAGACTTTGATTGAAATTTTAGGATCATACTGTCACTGTACATTCGGATGATGTCGAGAGACGGAATACAGCGCCAAAACGTTTGAAGTTTTATACGCATTTTACTCAGAATTTCTACACAATGAAAGATCATGCTAAACTCTCAGTAATTCACATGATTTATGATAAAAATTCTTCTCAGTATAGTAATGTTTTTCAATGTTTCTATGAATGATTTAATTGTAACAGTTTTAAGTTTTGATTATTTGAATAGCTATATATATATATATATTCACTTATGAATAACAATGATGAGGATGATCGTGGATGAGCACTGCTGAGGAGTCCCGTGCTAGGACGAAACTGCTATCCAGTGCTTCCAGTTTGTCCATAGTGATCTAGCTTCAGTTGACTCATGAATTCAACTATAAAATTAGTAAAATCTCCACAAAAGCTCCCTATGATAATCATGAACATATGCTCACTAGTGACTGGCTTGAAGAGATATTTCCTGGAGTTCTAGTGAGAAGCAGTGATCAGTGGAGTTCAACCAAATCTGTTGTGAGATAGTAACACATTGATAACAATCGTGGATGGTGGTGCAACTTCGTGGATTGATTGAAGTAAGTCATTAATATGATTGGATGCCGGCCAGCTCATTGGTGTAGAGATTAAGCACTCGCGCGTGTGACCGATAGGACCTGGGTTGGAACCTCGTGAGGCGAGATCGTGGATACGCACTGTAAAGGAGTTTTACAATAGGACGGAACGGCTTTCAGTGCTTCTAGGTTTTCTATGATGATTTAGCTTCGATTGACTCATGATCCCAACTATTAAAATTAATAATGTAATACTTTGTTTGTGTTATTTTACATTTTTACAGATATATTTACGAGCAGCAATAACGTATTGGGAAGAAACATTGACAGTCAAGAAACCTGGAAGTGGAAAACAACTAGCAAAAAGGTGATTGTACTGTTTGCTTACTTGTTTCTTTATTTGTAATCATTTGCACTCTTGTCACACTTGTGATTCTTGTCATTTCAATGTTTGAAGGTATCCTATTAAGTAACATAAATAATTCACAATTGCAGATTAAAACTTAATAGATGGATTTCTTTTATTCTTAACTGAAAAACATTCTTATTTTGTTTCATCAAGGTATTGTGAAAGTGGATACTATTACACAGCTATTGGAAATAATTCCATATTTTGTCGTCAGTCGATGTGCAAACGCGATGTTATGTGCGGACGGGTGAAAATTCCAGATCAGTATGTAGGGGTGAGTATGAGTACAGGTGTAATATTTCTACTGATATAAATATAGTAGATATTTAAAATGCAACAATGAGATGTGTATTAGATTTTTAATTCATTTCTTATAAGTGATTGAAGATGTGAAATACAGAATACTCAACAGTGCACATCTACGAATCCGCTCGCGGGATTCGAACCTAGAACCTTCGGTCTCGCACACGAACGCTTATCTTCTAGATCACTGAGCCGGGATAATTATAAAATCAACATTGAAATGTAGTCTCTTTAGAAACAAATATAGATTTGTATATTAATATCATCCGAATTGTGAATACTCTCTCAAAATTCGGTGTATGACTTTTGTCATACAACAGCTGTGATGGTCTGAGCAGAGATTAGATACAACTGATAATCCATTAAATTTCAGAATAACACTGTTTAAGTTATCTCATCATCCTTTAAGATTATGTACATTTATTCAAAGAGAATTGGATAAAAAACAACTCATCATCTTCAAGAGTTATTCAATCCCTATATAAGTTAAAATGACATCACTTGAACTAGATTTCAATTAGTAAACTTACTTTTTACTTACGCCTGCTGCTTTTTATGAAGGAGCCTAGGCCTCTCACTAGGATTCTCCATCCAACCTTGTCCAGAGCAATCCTTTCTAGCTCCTTCCAGTTGTTATTCAATTAGTAAGACAATGATGTATATTTTGTTGGAGTTTCGTTCTCTGAGCTCAATGGCTTAATCATGGAGCTTTCATCGTCGTTCTGAATGACATCATCAGCACAAACTTCTATTTGAAGCTCCACGACCAATGATCTATATTTTATTATTTGTGTTCAAAATATTACGATTTAATAACTCGATCATGATTATCTTTCAGGAATGTTATCAGGAATATTATAACCGATTACACAGAACTTACAATAATGGAAGTGGAATACCATCTGCCGGTTACATCCTACTTGTTGATGCTATTAATACACATACCTGTTCTGGTAGTACAGCAGCATTTGCATCATCATGTTTAATGGATGAAGAAACAGATAGGTAATTAGATATATTTATTAGAGCATAATCTTGTTTTAGATGTAAGAAAAATGACTGAATTACTTATTCAAAGACAAATGTTTTTAACTATACTACTCTTAAATCAAATGTTTACGATAATATTGTGAAAGCTAAGGAATTACCTTCCAATTTTATCCATTTATTGGTACTTTAAGTTCAGTAAATGAAAATTGATAATTAGTACAATTCATTCTTTGACCCTTGAATTTTATTTACGAGTGATTTATCCCAGTTCAGGAAACACAGACATTGTTAGAGATGTCACTCTACCAATGATCGCAGAAATCAGGATTGCCATCAGACAAATCAAGAATGGGAAGGCAGCAGAACCTGACAACATATCAGATGAAGCACTAAAGCCAGAAATCGAAGTAACCGCAAACATGCTTTACGTTCTATTCAAGAAGCTTTGAGAGGAGGGACGGGTGCCGACGGACTGAGAATAAGGACACCTCATCAAGGTTCCAAAGAAAGAAGATCTGAGCAAATGTGAAAACTAAGAAGGGATCACACTACTGTCAGTACTAGAGAAAGTCCTCAACAGAGTGTTGCTGAACCGGATGAAAGATTCAGTGGATACCCGAATTCAAGATCAACAAGCTGGATCCCGTAGGGATCGGTTGTGCACAGACCGATGCATTCTAAGTAAGGACCGGAGTCAGACAAGGCTGTCTACTCTCTCCCTTCTTGTTTCTTCTGGCGTTCGACTGCATTATGAAGACCTCGAAATCTGAGTGAGAGCACGGAATACATTGGACAGTTCATGATCATTTAGATGACCTATCCCTCCTATCCCATACACACGAACAAATGCAGATGATGACAACTAGTGTAGCAGCAAACTCTGCACCAGTGGGCCTCAACATACACAAAAGAAAACCAAGGTCCTCAAATTTAACACCGAGAGCAGCATTCCAATCACTCTCCATGGCGGAATTCTGGAAGATGTGGAATCTTTCACGTACCTGTTCAGCAGCGTTATCGATGAACAAGAAGGATCAGATGCAAGAGTAAATGCGAGGATAGGCAAAGCAAGGACAGCATTCTTGCAACTCAAAACAGCTGTCTCTCAATAATATCAAAGTCGTAATCTTAAATAAGAACGCCAAAACAGTCCTAATGTACGGAGCTGAAACGTGGAGAACTAATACAACCATCATCAAAAAGGTACAAGTATTTATAAATAGTTATCTACACAAGATAATCAACATCCAACATTGGCCGGATATCATCAGCAACAGCCTACTGTCGGAGAGAACAAACCAGCTTCCAGCTTAAGAGTAAATTAGGAAAGGTTGGTGGAAATGGATATGAAATACATTACAGAAATCACCCAACTGCACCATGAGGCATGCATAACTTATAATCTTGAAGGGAAATAGAGAAGAGAAAGGCCAAAGTACACACTGTGTCGGTAGTTGGAAGCTGACGTGAAAAGGATGAATAACAATTGTAAAGAAGTGGAAAGGATTGTTTGGGACAGGGTTGAATGGAGAGTGTTGGTGGTTGGCCTATTCTCCTTCACGAGGAGTAACAGGTGTAAGAAAAATTAAATAAATTGTCAACTCTAAAGTAAATGGTTTGAACTAAGGATCATTTTTTGTAATCCCATTAGCACAAAACACTCATTCTATAAATTACCTAAGATATTATGTCACTAAACCAACTACCCGACTATCTACATTGTCTATTGAACTGAACATTTAATGCAATACTGGATAAACTTAGATTACAAAATGAAATTGTAATGTAACTACTTAGTTAGTTAGTTTAATTGAGAATCATTCATTCATTGTTTTATATCCACATATTGATACTACTTAATACTTCAGGCCAATTCTTGGATTTGTAAATGTGTGCCCAGGAAATATGGGAGTCCATTATCCTGAAGATAGAAATTCACTTGGAATTTTCTTGCATGAAATCGGTCATGCACTTGTAAGTTCATCTATTATTTTGATAAGATAAAGTTTATTTTTCTATTCATTGAGATCACTGAACAATTATATCAAAATATATCTAATATTGAGATGGTGAAGAAGATTTGTAGCTCAAATGGATGATTTTATTGGAGTTTCGTCCACTTAGCTGGATAGTTTGGTCGTGAAGCTTTCATTGTTCTTCTGAACGACATAATCAACACACTTCTACCTATCGTTTAGAAGAAGGATGAAATCTTCATGACCAAACCATCCAACTCCGAGAACAAAACTCCGTCAATATATGTTTAGTATGTTACATATTTTTCATGAAAACAATAAGTATCCTAATGTCGAGTTTTTTTTATTATGACCTCGTAATTACCTATAACTAACGAAAAAAGCATAGAATATCGAAACATTTAGACCGGTCAACACGCTGATAACTAACCGATAAAACTTGATCAGCACTAAGAGCTACGTAAACATGACATAGGTTACTTATTAATTTTATAGTTGAATTCATGAGTCAATTCAAATTAGGCCATCATAGAAAACGTAGAAGCACTGAACGGCTGAGGAATCCCATACTAGAACATACTAGCATCTTAGTAAAATCTGAGAAATATGCAGTAAGTACTTCATTTACAAAATGTCAATCGGTTCTTTCTTTATAGTGTTATTCAGTTATTTATCTGAAACTAGTTGTTGACATGTTGGTGTTTGAAATGTGAACAGGTATATACAATCTCATATATACTATTCTGATTCTGTATAGTCATTACTTAATATTTTTAAAATTTATTATATTTTAGGGATTTTCATCATCCAGCTTCCCTTTTATGCGCTTTCCAAATGGGACAGCTCGAACTCCCAGGGACGATAAACGTAAGCCAAAATACAAAGATCAATATGGAAATTATGTTCCGAGGTGAGAATTTCATTTTTCTGTATATTCAACCGATAGAAATTTAGGAAACCTTTAATACAGAAATATAAGTATAGAATTGTGGAGATTATTAAGTTTTGGATTGAGATCGTGAACCGAATGATGTTAGACCACCATTGAAAACCTGGAGGCACTGGATGGTCAACTCGTCTTATTGAGGGACTTCTCAGCAGTACACATCCGTCCAGTGCTTCCAAGTTTTCAATGTCCTATCAACAGTGTTTTTAGGATCCTTAGGTGACTGGAATTCAATGCTAGATTTAAAACGGAAGAGCAGAATGCTGTCTCATATACATATTATTATTGCAATGATAATTTCATTTAGATTAGTGAACAGTACTATGCAAATAATCATTGACAGATAGGCTAATCTTAACCATGTGAACACATAAGTTAGATCTGTAACTGATGTATCTCGGCGTCAAAAAGCATCAAAACTCTAAACCCAAAGTTATTCATTATTTGCATATGATCGATTTACTTGTGTATTGATATTATGATAATAGAAGCTCTGTACTAATCTTTAAAGGTAGATTTCACACATATGTTATATATAATTAGTCTCGAAAATCCCATGGTACGACCGAGAGTGAGGAGAGATGGCTCTCTCTCTCGAAACGCCCTCACGTGCCAATGAGTATACAGTCACTGCCAGGGGAATCCAACCCACTGCTTTCTCGCACCAGGCGTGTTGCTTACGAAATTGAGAGGACATTAAGCGTATGTTTGGCGCTTTAAACAGGTTGGTGGATATGGAGGATCAGCAGAGGTGAGTTGGAAAACCCTAATTCTAATCCAATGGTGCACATGAACTCCAGGATCCTGAGGGAACAAATGGCGTATGAACGTATTGTTGGTCACGGATTACCGTGGGACTGCATCTCCTGAAGTTGCTCCACTGCTTTGCGGATTAGACCTTTATATAGAAGGCTCTGGATGTGGTCCCCTGACAAAACCATCTACTTTGGTTTGGGCACCAGGGCAGTATCCCAGCCCACACACAAATCAAATGACTTGTGTGGCGCATATATATTCGATGCCCCTTTGTACCAACATTTACGATCAATAAATAAACGATTAGTTAAAATGATGACCCTAATATTTCATTTACGGTTCACCATACAAATCTATTTGAATAATTCTTGAAAACTACTGTTTTGTGTAGCGTTATCACCAGGCTTTCTTTCGAAGGAATATTTTTTAAAGAATTTATGTGCTTATATTGCAAGTTTTTGATATTTTGAACGTCTTTTTCACAGTACCAACACTATCCAAAAGATCACAAGAAGATGGAGAAGTGCAGCAGGATGGTTTACAAAAGACTTTTATGCTTTCGTTACTCCTAGAATCCTGGTTAGTTAAGTATTTATGCAATTCATATCATTTTATAATAAAGAAAATGTTAGATAGAAATTCAATAATCCACCTGGAACGAAAAGAAATTTTTCTCATCGTCTGATGTACACTATCTTAACTGATAGGTCCTGGGTCCGAATCTCGTGAGGCGGGGTCGTGGATGAGCACCGCTGAGGAGTCCCACAGTAGGACAAAACGGCCGTCCACTACTTCAAGATTTGCCGTGGTGGTCTAAATTCAATTGACTCATAATCTCAACTATTTAAATTACTATAATATCTATAAAAACGACCTCTGATATTTATCAAAATATGCTCACTTGTGACGGTCTCCAAGAGGCATTTCCTGGAGTTCTAGTGAGAAGCGATGATCAGTAAAGGTCAACCGATTCTGTTGTGAGATAGCGAATCGCTGAAAACAATGGTATACGGTGGCACAACTTCCTGGATTATTTGAAGTTAGACATTAACAGTGATGTAGGCTGGTCGGTTCAGTGTCGTACAGGTTAAGCGTTCGAACGAGAGACTTATCGGTCCTGGATTGGAATCTCGCAATGCAAGATCTTGAGTGCACACCGCTGGGGAGTTCCACAATAGGACCAACTGGCCATCCAGTGCTTCCAGATTTTCAACAGAAGTCTAACATCAATCGATTCATGATCTAAATCAAAAACAAAATTATTCTGGGTTTCTCTTCCTTTAATTAAAAAAAAACTCAAAACATACATACTTACAATATTTAGAACGCTGCAAGAAAACATTTCAGTTGTACCCGGTTAGATGGAGCAGATTTGGAAAATCAACACCAAACTGGACTGATAGGATCGCATTGGGAGGGAAGAACATATTCAGTGAGTTTACTTAAGTGTGAATATGACTTTTATACATTCTTAATCTGTGTGATAAAGAAACATTGTTTAAACATTTGTCTAAAATGAACTATCAAAAATATGTATTTCGTTATTTCTGAAATTATTTGCATTGAATTAAGAGTATTAAGGAGTTAAGTAGCAAATAAAGTCAACATGTTAAACAATTACCGTGATATTAGACTTTTGTTAAGAATGACAGTTATTTGTGACGTTGTGAAGCACGTTTTTTTTTTTTTTTTGGGACTCGTCAGCTGAATGTACCTGAATCCCAGAGTTGATGTTCTTTCCAGCTGACGAATCCTAAATAGAACAAAATGCAGGTCTTGGATCCAGCTGCAATCATCATTAATTACTCATGTGAACAAAGTATCACATTTCAGTACGGTAAGCAGAGCCTTTTCATTTATTATTAGTAGTAGGGTACGTGCCTAAGGAAATACCCTTTGTCAGTAAAGGTTAGAACGTAAATACTATTGAGAATAAAATAGCTTAAAAATTTGTATTCTTTTATGACCATAAATGTTAGTTGCTTCATTATTTATGTAGTGTATTATCATCTTCGGTTTCAGAGCGAAATAATGGCTGGAAGAATACAAATTGATTACTCTGTATCGCGTGTTACTCTTGGCTTCTTTGAGGATTCAGGGTAAGCAAAGTTAGACAAAGTAATTACCTATTTTTTTATTACAACGACAGATGTAAAAGAATCACGTCCATTATCGTTCAGAATCTCTGAAAATAGATTTGGTTTCGTTAACGACTTCGAAATCTGAACTCCACAAGCCTATGTTTGCAGGTTTTGGAATGATATTACTAGAGGCAGTCTAAAAGGATATGGCTAAACATGTTTGAATATATATTGTTGTCAACCCTCATTAGTTATGATATAAATGTGTTTTGATTCTTCGCCCAGGACTTTGAAATATCAAAAACTTAAATAATCTGATTGAGTCCTTTCTCGAACTTAAGTAACTTTTATGCAAAATTATGTGTAGTCATGAAAAGTGTTTATAAATATTATTGGAAGTCAGTACCAACTGGCATAGCCAATATATATTTATATATTCAGTGAGATTAGTGTTACAGATGGTCCATTTTTATTGTAACTGTTACCTTACTACACATTTTTTTGAGAAACTGAATGAATCGCATAGTCTATGAACCTACTTCTGTCTGTTATAACTTGTGGACTTGTGCCCCTATCAATATGCGACGTATTGATACCACCAATTAACGAACAGCGATTCATCGACCAGACCAATAACGCATAAAACAAGTACGAGGAGTTTACAGTCTTTATCGGTCCTTCTTCCTGTTTAGCCCTGCAGGTTAAGTCCACAACACCAATCTCAGCGTCCGTGATATGAATCACGCATTTCAAATATACTGGGTTTATATACAAACAAATCAGACCACATCGTACAATGAATTTGGAAATAACATTTGTACAAGAACAAGTTAAAATTGGCTGTGAATGAGGTAGACTGTAATGAATAGACTGTGCACAACTCAAGAACGGTAAATCGTTTAATAATAGTCGAAATAGCGCTAATCATAAAAAGGAACAAGAATATGATACAATCCTTTCTATCCTTCTATAGAAATACATTTTGCATATAACTATATATACGAATGTACAGCTTAAGTAAATGATTTCGTCGAAAAGGAAATTTTCTTCGCTGAATTCTCTTTTTCATATTCAAAGAATATGAAAAGTTTAGTTACTTAACAATTATACGATAAAATATATGCGTGTATGATTTGTCTATAAATAAATCCCAACAGTTACCATTCACTATTCTCGTCGGTATAGAACACTGTCGTAAACGCCAACATTGACTCATAGACATGATGGAAATGACTGAACAGACTGAAGGTTTCTGAACTCCGTTTCATATTTCTCATCAAGCGAATATAAAATATTTTCCAAACCAAAATACATTAAATGATTCATTCATATCAGAAAAGGGTTTTCTGGAGATTGTAGTAATTTCAATAGTTGAGATCATGGGTCAATTGAAGCTAAACCACCATCGAAAGCCTGGGAACTTTGGGAGGCCAACCCTTCCCATTACGGGACTTCTCAGTAATGCTTACCCATGACCCCCTCCCGCGGGATTCGAATCCAAGACTTATTAATCTCGCGCAAGTACTCTTAACCTCTTCGGCACTGAGCCAGTCGGGATCTAACGGTGTTAATGTCTCACTTCAACTAGTCCACTAAATTGAGTGACACATCCGCCATACCAAACCCACAATAGTTTTGCATATACTTTAGCCATGTCAACAAATGACAGGTTTATCCTTAATAAAACTATCTTTGTTATAAAACCTCAAATTTTGTTATGCAATACCACTCTTCTCAAAACTATATACACTTCATCACGTTCGTTGTTCTTCACTTTTTCTTTTTTATCACATTTGTCTAAAACACTCATTTTCAATTTATCTGGTAATCAGTCCTTTTCAGATACAATAAACTATACTTACTTACTTACTTACTTAAGCCTGTTACTCCTCGTGGAGCATAGGCCGCCCAACTGCACTTTTCATCCAAAAAGTAAACTATAAATTAACTATCATCTTTACTTAGTAGTTTGTATTAATTATATTACCGTCTGGTGTATTCTGTACTAACTTTCATTATTATTATTCATTCGTTAATGATGTGGGATTTGACTTTATAAATTCTTTTATGTCATTTTCAAGTTGGTACACTGTTGATTACTCAAAAGCGATGAAATGGGAATATGGTAGACAATTAGGATGTGACTTTTGCATGAAAAGTTGCTTTGACTATGCTGAAATTAGACGACAATAGTGAGTCAGTTGTCTTTTCAATTATGAATTTATAATATTATTCTTTGTTCAATACCTTCATATGTCTAATCGACAAAATATATGTTACTTACCTACTTACGTCTGTTACTCCTCGTGGAGGATAATAGGCCAACCACCAGCACTCTGTCTCTGTCTCAAGAAATCCTTTCCACTTCTTTCCAGTTGTTACTCAACCTTTACATATCTACTTCTATTTCTCGACGTAATGTGTTCTTCGGTTTTCCTCTTTTTCACTTGCCTTCACGATTCCAAGTTAGGGCTTGCCTCGTGATACAGTTTGATGATTTTCGCAATGTGTCCTATCCGTTTTCAACAACTTTTCCCAATTTAATCTTCTGCTGGAATCTGATTTGTTCTCTGCCGCAGAAGACTGTTACTGGTGGTATCCGGCCAATGTTTGATGTTGAGTATGATGTGTAGATGACTATTTATAAATACTTGTACCTCTTTGATGATGGTTGTAGTGGTTCTCGAGGTTTCAGCTCTGTACAGTAGGACAGTCTTGATGTTGTAATTGAAGATTTTGACTTTGATATTGTTGACAGACAGTTGTTTTGAGTCGCATATATTCTTTGATTTTAAGATTAAGGCTCTTGCTTTGCCATGTGATAATTCTTAAATCATGTAACTCAGTTACATAATGCGATCGCAACTGGTAATTCAATAATTCAGATCTATTCTTTAATATTTATACTTCTGAGTATATTAGATGTCTATCAATTTATCAAAAATTCTTACCTTTCAATATACCATCAAGTTAAAATAGAACAGCAAAGATGAACTACCTAATGTGTTGGGGATGTTAGATCCCCAGAACTCATTTGGTCAATACCTTATTATTGTAAATTTATTTTAAAATTTTGGATTTCTTGTTTTCGTACCAAAGGCGTTCATTTTCACTGTCGGGTTGTATTTCCCACTTGAGAGAATCTTAAACACTATTAGTTCATTGTATCTTTTAGTATGCAATTTTGTAACGCTTCCTAAGGACAATTCATTGTTGTATATATGTGTTTGATTTTTACCTGTTATTATTTCTCGTGCTTCTTGCTGCTTGCGAGGTATGTTCCTCTGTTTCGAACATGAAGTTCTCTCTCTAGTTAATGGGGCTGTGATGCATCAGAATAGCTAACTTATTGATCTTTGGTCACAGAGTCCTTGTTTCGTTCTCAGACTAGGTGAACTTGTAATCACTTCAAACATTGCATAATGAAATTGTCTAACTGTTTGCTGTTGATATTTAACTTCAAACATAATACTTTGTTTGTTGATGGCATAGTAAATTGTTTTGAATAAGTATACATGACGAAAAATGAAATTACTAATTGACTTTAAAATTGATTGTTTGTTTTTTCGTTAAGCGGCAGGAAAATTATCCCATTCTGTGACAATGTCAATGAAGCAAGATGTCGGGATGCATTCTCATATGGAACGTGCAGTATTTTAAGATATCAAAATCCAGTTCCCATAGAAGATCGTTTCTTTCTAAAAGCCCCATTTGATACTCAATATGGTCCTGAATATTTCGGTGGGGAAGATCCATTTAAAGATTATTGTCCAACAATGGTTGTAAGTTGATTGCTCTACATTCTTGTGAATATTTCACTTTATAACATTTAATATTATGACCTAGGGTTCTCGGTCAACTTCTATAATCATTTTTCATTCCTGACCATAATCAGAAATTAACTATTTATAATTTAAAATATGTTCGCCTGTACCGACTTTCATGTATGAACCTGTGAAGAAAACATGAATTACCACCATTATTCATGTGTGATATTATCAATTAATGCTCCCATACAAGGACAAAACTGCTGTCCAGTCCTACCAGGTTTTCAATGGTGGTCTAGCTTTAATGGAGTCATGAATACAATGATTGAAAATATTTAGGTTTTACAATGAATCATATTTAGATAAAAAGATATTTTCACTATTACTGTGAAATAATCTGAAATGATATAAATATAGAAACTATCCTACAACAAGCATTATAAGCAAAGATGAATAGTGGATATCAGTGGAATCCAGGACGCGCATTTTGTCCTGTTCGCGACTTGTCAGTAAGATGTACCTGAATCTCAGATTTGATGTCCACTCTGGGACTCGAACCCAATACTGTTCGCTTCAAACGCCAACAAATTTCGATTATGGTTCACTTTGGCTAAACCCTATTATTAATTTACTTAACGGACAATCTTATTTGAACAGTAACAATTTGTATATTTCATTGTACCGTTATGATCACTAGAGAACATGACAGACTCTAGCTAAAATGTTGATTGCTTAAATATCATCCGATGATTCATTCTGATCCCTATGTATTTATGTACTCGAATCCGATTATTAGCTTTTGGTTTGTCTTGCTGTGCCTTTATGCAACTTGACTATAAATTTGCCTATGTAATTGCACGCATACACATATACGCCTCTCTGCTTCAAATTTGCTTGGTGTGCTTATAACTTTGTGATCTGTGCTATCTGCTAATAGACTGCAGGTGCCGCTTCTTATTGCCTTCTAATTTCAAACGCCGTTGAGATTTATATAATAATGGTTATCGATGGTGATTGATTAACGAAACAAAGCCACTACATAATTATATTTATATAAATAACAAGTACTTTTAATGAGATATATGGTGAAGCTTATATCAGTTAACATGTGGGAAATGATACTGTTTTAACATAGAAAATTACAAATGGTTGTTTTGAATAAGTAACAGTTAAAATAGTTTCAATTGTTCAGTACTACTCAAAATCACTTGGCTAGACTATAATTTATGGACGAGTTAATCAGGAGCGTTTCAGGAATTTCAGGGTCATGATGTCAATTTCCGTACCTGGTGCTCACATACGATCATTTCGCAGCGGGTTTTAGAGAAAACGTGATAGGATTTTTTCGCTCTATGCAGATCGAGAGTAAGGCAAATTACGACAGTCGTTGCGAACTGGATAATAAGAGCACCAGTAACACTGGCTGCTACAGAGTACTACAATATAAACGGATGAATGAAAAGCGTACAGACACCTAAAGAGACTTGTTTATGTGCATCGTGTCTTTATCCACAAGTGGCATTTTATAGATCCAACCACCGGAGTGCACACAAACAATACTGAAGAAATGTGATCAAGGGAGAAATTTTTTGCGTATTCATCATGGCTCCAGAGGTCGACAATTATAGAGCCATATGGATGATTCCCTCTACGATATTGATCACAATTTTAGAAACTCTGAACCTCTTTCTAACTTTGACAAGTTTCTCAACCATATAAAAGAAGTGTATCCATTTTAATTCTTCAGTTATATATAATAGAATTTTACTCTATACTAACTGTTTTCTAATTGGCTAATATTTGAAGGGGTTTTGTGGATATTATAGTAATTTGAATAGTTGAGACATGAGTCAGTTGAAGCTAGACCACCATGGAAACCTGGAAGCACTAGACGACTGTTTTGTCCTACTGTAGGACTCCTCAGCAGTGTGCATCCGCGACCACGTTGGATGTCGGCCCAGTGGTCTAATGGTTAGGCGCTAGCGCACGAGACTGATAGGTACTGGATTTGAATCTCGCGAAGTGAGATTGTGGATGAGCACAGATGAGGAGTCCCATACTAGGACGAAACGGCCGTCCACTGCCTCTAGGTATTCCATGTTGGTCTAGCTTCAATTGACTCGTGATCTCAAATATTAAAAATGGCTAATATTTCTCAAGCTCATACAAGATCCCTTCAAAGGTCGTCCATAAATTATAGTCTCGCCATTTTTGTAAGAAAATATCTTCTCATAATAATGATGTATTATATTGGACTAACCTTACTCTCCCACATTTGTAGTATGTTAAAGGTTTGGGCAGTGAATATTCAGCTACATCATTCTGTACACATCCGGAGAATGAGATATTATCACGTAAGCATTTTTTTTTCTGTATAGTATAGTATACGTTTAGCTTAATAGCATACTTTCATCAATAAGAAAGAGACTATAAATTATGAACGAGTCAATCAGATTTAATATAAGAGGTCTTGGATTTCGGCACGAAATTCATTCATCCATTTGAGTAAATAGAGTTCTGGTATCTTAGCTTATGTCAGTTCGTAGTGAATTACCTTAAATCTAATTCCTAACTCTGACCATCAAAGGAAAATTATAATCTTCTTTTCTTCTCACAGGTTTATAACCCTCATTTAGCTCTAGTAAGTAGGTGAATATTCTGAAGGTCACTTTAGCATTACTCAATGATCGTCCATAAATTATAGTCTCACATCGATAAGTTATCAAGTTAAATATTTTATACGTTTGACGTGGAACTTTATTAAAAATCATTCAGTTGAGATTTAATTATCCCACTTTTTTCATTTGATGTTATTTAATTGTATCGTCTCATTGTTATTTAGGACTGGAATTAACCAGTCTCTTGTTGTTCATATATACTTGTCCTGTGAGGACTGCTACGATGTCGATATCGAGTCCCAGGATGAACATCAACTCTAAGATACAAGTATATCCAGCTGACGAATAGGACGAACCGCATGTCTTGGATTCCACTACTAGCCATTATTCAATTTACTTCTTCGTTAACCTATCATTGAATTACTCAATTATAGATCAAGTATTCTGTGAATACAATTGACTTAATTCTTATAAAATGGTCATATATCGAATCATCTATTCACAGAACAAATGTAGTGAAGAATTTTGAGTAGACTGGTTAGAACAGCGTTTTAGGCTTTATTCACAAATATAGTTAGCCCATCAAATATTTTACATGAGAAGAATAGTTAAGGCGATTTTCTAATGTTTGTTTGCTGATTGTACTTTTTATTGATTAAATAATCAACTTGGATCGGTTTTAGAATGGAAAATTTCACTTACTTATTGTATTATACTTAGAATTTGAAACTGTATGGTATTTTCAATAGCAAAGATACCATTACATCATGGACGCAAAGTAAACCCTAGGTGTACTTAGCATATCTATAATGGCTTATGTATCATTTTGCTAAACATTCAATGCTCTTCATTAGAATTCTAAAATTGTTTCGTAAAATGTAGAAAATATACGACAGTTAAATAACCATGAGAAACAGATGTTTCCTAATATTATAAGCAAAGATGGATAGTGATTAATAGTGGAATCCGAGACTCACGTTTCGTCCTATTCCGGACTCGTCAGTTGGATTCATCTGTAGCTCAGAGTTGATGTTCACTCTGGGACTCGAACCCAGTACCGTTCGCTTCAAAAGTCACCACCCTATTCCACTGCAAGCCTTTATCCATCTTTACTTATAATTCTTGTAAATTGAGACAATATCGAGGCAACACGCCCAGTATGCTCATATGCCGATAAGAGACTGATCAACTGCAGTCCTAAATATCAACTGGAAAGATTCAAGTAAACAATGCCAAGTGAATTTATGTTTCCTTTTTTTTCTAATCAGATATTTACATTGTTGATCTACCTGTGTACTTAGCTAGTCGTTCTGAATAGATAAGAAATAATTAATCAGTTATTTAAAACTCATCTTCTATATTAGGTGAAGGCATTAACCAATACTATCAAACATATGGATCAAAAGGGATTTGTGTTGAACATCGAAGTGTTTGGACTTACACCGACAAATATATATACACTTTAGGGACATATTTGAAAGGAAGTTGTCATAAGGTACAGTTTTGTTCTCTTTTATATTTCTGTCATCTATTGAGTTTTTAAAGACAAGACCAAACTTTCAAGATGATGTAAATGTTTGATGACATTTGAGTAATATCAGTTCAAGTTAGATAGGTTGCATCACCGAAAAACAGTAGAAAATCATGTAAAACAGAACAGCTTTGTCTTGAATTCGATCTTCACAGTGTGAAATACTAAAGACACCTCACAGACTTCATACGAGATTAATTTGTAAAACAGCTCGATAGTCATTAAAGTTATCTGGAATATGTGTTCTTTCGAGATTGAACACGATTTTACTTCAGAAAATTCAGGGACTAATTCTTTCTTATCTGTTTATTATTACATATTTTTATTCCATCGATAAATAAATTGTCTTTTCACCCTGAGGAAGTGGCCTATATAAAGTCACGAAACTCTAAAAAAATAATGTTTTCGAACTCATTTATTTAAAATTTTTATATAAACACTGGTACAAGGAGGCATCAAATAGATATGCATCGCATAAATCATTCGATTTGTGCAAGAGCTGTGATGCTGCTCGGGTGCCCAGACCGAATTATGTATTAGGGGGCCACACTCAGTGCTTTCGACCTAAAGATCTAATCCACTAGGCAGTGGAGCAAAGTCGAGAGATGCAGTCCTATGGTAGCCAGTGATCAACGATTGGTTTATACGCCATTTGTTCCTACAGGATCCTGGAGCCCATGTGCACTATTGGTTTGGAATCAGGGTTTTCCAACTCCCCTCGGTGAATCCTCCGTGTTCAGCGACCCGGTTAAAGCGCCAGACATTCGCTTTTTGTCGTAAACAACACTCATAAATTGTTTCACCCTTTTTCTTAAAGTATAATAATGTTGCATTTTCTAAAAATCAAATTTCATCATAAAAAGAAC